TGAATTCCCTTGATCTTGAGTATGACCAAAAGCATCGAAAACCATTTCACGATATTCGATGGTCCGCCCTTTAGAAACTCCTAGAAACCCTTCCCCATGACACATCCACTCATAGTAATTAGGTAGAAAACCCTTGCGAAACAAATGAATTTTAACCGTTTCCGTATCCCAAAGCCGTTTGTACTTCATTCGGGTTACTACTCTTGGGATGATCTTTGACGTACTGAATGAATTCATCAACCCCTTTCACGAACTCTGGATTAATAGAAAGCCCAACCTTCCTTTCATACATCAAGCTACGTTCTGTTCGTTTCATGATCACAACTTCTACACAACTCACGCATATGTATAGTCACATTAGTCACAAAGCGTATTTCCTATTCATTATCCATCAAAGTGTTATGGAAATGCAAATGAGATTTGAAATGCTTCCAAAGGGTCCTTATCACTCCAACCTAACCCATCCTTTTACATTTAATCTCACTAGTGAATGTAAGCCAGGTTTTCAATTCTATGGAAAATCCGCCAGCATTTCCCTACAGTTCTCCAAGTACACGATGTAGGCAATTAAACACACCTACATATATACCCAGAGAACATTGTAGAAAAATGAGAAGGCAGGATATTCCCTAGAATCAATAACAAGGCATACATTCACCACCTAAGTGAGAATAAACGTACAAGGACAGTCCCAACCGGGGACTATTCAAGACATACTCCTAATGTGTATGCCTTGAACGGGTATCTAAGCATATGATTATGCAAATAATTTATTTAAAAATATAATAACTAAACTAACATACATTATATTAAACAAATATATCATAATTAATCTAAACAAAACTAACATATCATAATATTCAAATAAACCAAATCAAACAAAACCAAAGTAAACTAAAATTTCATACTATTACACCAAAATAACATACATTATTTAAAACTAAACAAAACTAAAATACATTTTATTAAACTATAGTAATCTAACATACATCATACTAAACTAAACCAAACCAAACTAACATATCACAATATTAAACTAAACTAACATACATTACATAAAACTAAAGTAAATTAAACTATATAATATTAAAATACCCTAAATAATCTAACATGCATTGTATTAGGGTTTGTAATGTGACAATTAAACCAACTAATTGTACAAATCCTACACAAAAATTAAAGACAAAAAAAATATAAAAGGGTTCATTATTATACCAAAATTATATTAAATTGAAACAAAAGGGGAAAAGGAACTCACTATGAGTAGATATAACCTCGGTGGTGGTTGCATGGCAAGCTCAGTGGAGGTGGCGTTGGTGGAGGTGGCATAGGTGGTGGCTGCGAAGAACTTCTAAAGTTAGGGTTTCACCGGTTGTTTTAAAAAAATAAAAAATAAAAAATAAATAACAACAACAACAACACTAACCACCGGGGGAGTCAGGAGCGGCAGAACCTTGCTTCGGTGGCAGCTGTGATCGGCAGTGAAAACGGCGGTGGTGAGGGTTAGAGATCTGGAAAAGAAAAAAAAATAAAAAATTGTCACAAAACTAACTCCACTTACCAAACGGCAGCCAAGGCGGTGCGTGGGACCCGGTGTGGCGGCGGATCTGGGAGCGCTCTTCCTTTTCCTTCCTCTTCCTTCCTCTTCCTCTTTCTCTTTCTCCTTTCTCTTTCTCTCTCTTTCTCCCGTTCTTTTTTCCTCTCTCCTCTGTTCTTGGTTTCGTGAATAACAATGCAAAGGATCCTATGTTGTTTTAACCTGTTCCGACGGAAATAAATTCCGCCGGAATTAAATGCTTCCGACAGAATATTCCGTCGGAAGATATTTTCAGAGGGAATATTCCGTCGGAAGCATTTAATTCCGACGGAATTTAATCCGTCAAAATATTTCCGAGGGAATTTCCGTCGAAAAATACCTTTTCCGACGGAATATTCTGACAGATTCAAATTCATCGGAAAATTCGAAATTTCCGACGGAATTTTAGGTCCATCGGAAAACGGCCTATTTCTAGTAGTGTTGAATTATTTATGTAATTGTTGACACTAACATTAGTTATTGTTTATATTTTAATTTGGTTTTAAAGGGCCTTTAATGGTTCTAAGTTATTGTTGATTTTAAAATTTGAGTTGATTTTATTAAACTTTATTTCATTTGAGTTTTCGAAAGTTAGTCTTCCGCTATGTGACTTTGAAAAATAGCCTTAGCCGTTATCACAGTGGCGGTAATACTTTGGAGATTTCCTAAACTAAGTTTGATTTAGAGTAAAAAGAGTATTTTAAAATAAGGGAATTTCCAGGGTATTACAGCCTCAGCACATAATATAAAGAGATATGGGGAAAGAGGATCACCTTGTCGTAAACCCCTAGCCGGAATAAACTCCCCCTAAGGTGCTCCATTAATAAGGACTGAAAAAGACACTGAAGACACACGATCCACCCACATCTCCGCAAAACCCATTTTCTTCATAACCGCCTCTAGAAAAATCTATTCTACTCTATCATATGCTTTCGCCATATCAAGTTTCAGAGCCATAGTACCACTCTCACTATGAGAATTTTTCATATGATGAAAAACATCAAAAGCAACAAGAATATTATCAGTTATCAATCTCCCTAGCACAAAAGCACTCTGATTTATCGATGTAATATTTGAGAGAAAAGATTTTAGACGGTTAGCGAGGACTTTTGTAATCAACTTATACACCACATTACGCAAACTTATAGGCCTAAATCAACCATTTTATCCAATGCCTTGTTTTTCAAAAGTAAAACAATAAAAGTCTTATTAATCGAATCCGAAATAGACTCTCCATTCAACACACCAAGCACAAGTTGATTAAGTGTAAGGCTAACAATATGCCAATAAGTTTGATAAAATAACGGACACATATCATCGGACCAGAGGCCTTTAAGGGATGCATTTGCTTAAGAGCCGTCTAAACTTCAGCTTCGGTATACCTTGCACACAAGATTGCGTTCATGTCCTCCGTCACTTTCCTCTCCACTCCCTCCAAAGCTGCCTCAAACTCGGATGGCATTGAAGAGGTAAAAATACCACGAAAATAGTCCACTGCCACTTTCTGTATCCCCTATACATCATTATGTTCCATATCATCATCCGAGATCAAACATGAGATGGTGTTCTTCTGCCGATGTTGAGAACCTTTTCTATGAAAGAAATTTGAGTTTCTATCCCCAGCAGTTAACCATAGAGCACGAGACCTTTGGCGTCATTAAATCTCCTTATGGTGTAATAGATCTGCCAACTCCCTCGCAACTTTCCTCCTTTCACTCACTTGTGCAATAGACCTCCCCCCTTTATTAAACACCCCCAATCTTTTTCTCTTTTTTTCGAATTTCCTTCAAAATACTCCCTAACTCCTTATTGCTCCAGGAAGTCAGCTCCTCAGCACACCGAGCTAAATGACCCTCCAAAGACGAGCCCCCCAATAGCCACGCACTATCTACAACTCCCTCACATCCCTTATTCTCAACCCACAACTGTTCGAACCGAAAAATTCTCTCCCCAGCCCCCTTCGGCCTTCCATCACCACTCATAGTAAGCTTAATTGGTGAATGGTGTGACCACTCTCGTTCTAAATGCTCGGCACTCACTTTAGGAAACGCTTCCATCCAAGCTTGATTAGAAAGTACCCGATTAAGTCAACATTGTACATTATCATCGCCACATTGTCCATTATCAAAAGTAAACGCATAGCCTGTAAAATCACTGTCACACAAGCTATGAACATATACCTAGCTACCACTTCTCTAAAATTTTCCATCTGCCATAATGCACGATCGTTGCCACCTTTCTTCTCCGATTCCACCAAGATTTCATTGAAATCACCCATACATGCCCACGACTCTGACCCCTCACGCGCAAGCTCATCCAACAACTTCCAAGATAAGTGACGATTTTGTACTTCGGGCCAGCTATAGAACCCAATGAGTCTACGATCCACGTTAACTCTGCGAAGACATCCATGTGGTGAACAGACTTCGAACGAAGCTCTACCTTAATCCCTTTAAGCCAAAATAACGTCAGTCCACCTAACCGACCGCAATTCCCTCATATCCAACCAACTTAGCACGAATTTTAATCATCTCTTTAGCGCTTAACTTCGTCTCCATCAAGAAAAGAAGAGACAGGGCCTCTCTTCGGACCAAATTCCAAAAATTATTAACTGTAGTGGTGTTGCCCAGTCCCCTTCATTTGAATCTTATGATATTCATTGGGCTTGGTGGCACTGCTTAACGGCAGCCTCCGCCTCACGCCAACCAGAAAATTCGATCACACGGCCCTTTTTTTTGTTCGGACTCAGCCCCTTCATCTTCTCATACAGCCCCTCTCTCCCTCTCTTCCCCAAGAACGAAAGCTCAGCATGGTAATCATAAGAATCCTTCTCCCTAAGCACTTTTTTCCACCCTTTCTTCTTCCCTTTCGTTTCAACACCCACACCTTCCCACCCACCTCTAGCCACCCCCCTCCCCCCTTCATATTCTCAACACCTCCCTCAATCACTTGAGAATGAATACCCATGCCACCCTTACCCTGCCCCATCTTCGTAAGCGCTCCAAACTCCCCCACACCAGGATTAATATGAGCACAATAATACTCCCCTCCACACTTACTATCTTAGCATTATCTACATTCACCCCCTGAATTTTTTTTTTTTTTTTTTTTTTTTTGGTAAATAGAGCAATATTATTACCAAGACAAGAAAAGGTTACAACTTATAGAAGCCAAAGCTGAAACCAAACACAAAAAAAAACAAGAGGAACTACACCAAAACACCCAAGACTCCAAGAGCCACACACACCCGCCTAGGGGAAGAGAACCCTGGCCACCTTCTAGGAAGGGTTCCAGGGAACCCTACCCAAAAAAAACAGATCAAACAATCCTTTTATGCCACCTTCTAGGAAGGGTTCATTAAGGAAAGATAATCAAGCATACAACACACCAACTGCCCAAAGGCTACAGCCAACTACAAACAGAATTACAAGATTAACAAATGTCTGTCCTTAACATGGCATCTACAAGCTACTGAAAACATAATATCTTTGAACACCACATCAGTAGACTTCAAGTTTCCTGTGAAGATCAGAGCATTTCTTTGAAGCCAGATATGGTAGACAGATTCTGCAAAACACATAGCCAATAACCGGCTTTTAACTCTAGTCTTCCTGCATTTCTTTGAAATCCAATCCAACTCAACATCAAAACAGCCAACACTTCTCTGAAATCCGAGTAACTTCAAGATCTGACTCCAAATAGCTCTACTGTAATCACAGGCAAAAAATAAATGCTGAACAGTCTCTAAGCTCTGATTACATAAAAAACAGGCAGGGTCACACTGGATGTTCCAATGCTGCAACCTATCTTTAGTCAGCAGTCTGTTTTTAACAGCCAACCAGGTGAGGAACAGGCTCTTAGGAGTAGCCAAATTATTACAAATAACCCTTCTCCAAGTGACCTTAGGAGCTTGAATCATGATGGCTTTGTACATTTTCTTAATCTTGAATCTATTCCCCTGCACCAATGTATCCCAATTACCAATATTGTCAATTAGACCCCTGCATTTCAGAATTCGTTTGAGCACCCAGGAGCATTTCATAGGAATGGCCATACCCCACCAAGGCTTATTTTTGAAATAATAAGTATGGACCCATTTAACCCATAGACTATCAGCTTTGTGAGCTAAATCCCACAGGAGCTTAGTAATAGCAGCCATGTTCCATTCTGGAAGAGAAATCATGTTCCATCCCCCACTAACTTTAGGAAGGCAGACTTGAACCCAAGAGACCAGAGATTTCTTGGAAGGATTAGATTTCCTGAATTGCTTCTCATTTCTCACTTTGATTCTTCAAATAAACACCTTGCGGTTGATCAGGCCCCGCAAGATTCACATGCAGTTCATTCCTCTTTAACTCACAAGCCCAATCATCCATATCTTTAGTCACAAACAATTGCTTACGAGATGAAAGAACCCCTTCCAACTCCTCCACTTCTTTCGACCTCCCCTTTCGAGGAGATGACCGCAACCACCTACCCCATCCCAACTTCGCACGTTTACTCTCCTCTAAAACCATACAGCAATCTTTTTCAGAATGTCCGATAAAACCACATGCAAAGAAGAAAAAGGAAATCTTTTGTATGCAAATTATTCCACCATCACAGTGTTACCACTCTTGTCAAGAATCCTCTAAAAGCGTCGCAATGGCTTAGTAACATTTATCATGACTTTAATCCTACGAAATAGATCCAAACCCAGAATGTCCTCCTCCAGTTCAATCACTTCCCCTCCAATTTGCGACCAACTCTTTCACATCCTCATCTGATCTGCATTTGAAGGGCAAAACGGAGAATGATAAAGGTTCACCTTCTTCGGCTCCTCGCCCCCCTCCACTTCTTTTAGCACAATTAACTTATTATCAAAACACCACGGTCTCCCACTCAACACTTTCTCCTTGTCTCTCCAATGGAAGAATTGAAAAGCAAAGAGATTGGGTCCTAAAACCCTAATCACAAGTTTATTAGCCAGAGCCCACACCTTAATCATCGTATTTTTAAACGCTTGTACATTAAATGGTCTATCCGTCACCAATCTACCAATAAGCAGCAGGTCGAATTTCTCCGACGAATCAGTCGATTGTACTGCCCCCAAATCAACCACGCCCACATCTTCCTCACCAAGATTAAGATTCGCATAAGGTTCCACAATGTCATAGCCGTGGTCAAAGTGCAATTCAGAAAGAAAAACACCACCAAAATCTGTCTGTATCAAATTAGGTGCAGTGTCAAATTATTTTTAGATATTCTTGATAAATTATCTTCTTTTTAAAATAGAAAAAATCTTAAGAAAAGGAAAAAAAATGAATCATCTTAGCTTAAGTCACTTCATAAACTCACTTCTATGTACCATGATTGGTTCTACATAAACATAATAATATTTGGTTATTTTATTCTTCCAACATTTTCCATTTAGAAATTTCAAAATATTCTTAAGCTATTTTTTTTAATTTCCAACTGTTTATGTATTACAGAGTTTTTTTTCTTTCCTTGTGTTTTCCACTATCACAAAGTATATAAAATGCACAATAACTTATGATCTGGTGCAATCTTTAGCTTCTTAATACTTTAATCAGAATATCTTTTTTATTATAAAATGAAAATGTGTTTTTTTAAATGTTTTATTTGATTTCTTGCCCAATTCTAATGCGAATAACATAAAAACGAAGGTAGAATAACAACATAATTAACATTATAAACATTTAATCTATATATGTAATCAAGTAAGACAGTTTGATTAATTAAAATTTAATTTTTTTGTCCAATATAATGTTTTCATATTATCATACTCTGGGGTTATTATCATTAAATCATGGTTATTATTCTTGTATATTGGGTGTAATACATAATAAATTTAAAATAAATATGTAGTTTTTGGTTAATAAAAAGAAAATGATACTAAATTATCATCACATTTTTTGAACACTTAATTAGATGGTCTAAGACGTAGTATTAATATACTCATTTCAGTCATTTGTCTAATTGACTCTTACATAATATTATGTGAATTATCTCATTATCTATTGCAAAAGTAGAACAAAAGAAATATATTATTGTTGTATTTTGTCCATGTTATTATTAAAACAAAAATAAATTTTTTTATTAAATGTCATGAAATTACCGTGCATGGCACGGGACCTAACCTAGTTAATACTAAAAATCAGCGGTCATGATCATAATTTTTTGTATGCGGCTTGTTGTATTGTGCAACAGGAGTTACTCGAGTTTCTCGGTCAGGGGTTACTCGAGTTTCTCGGTCAGGGGTTACTTGAGTTGCCCGGGTTACTCGAGTTGTCGGGGTTACTCGAGTTACTCGGTCAGGGGTTACTCGAGTTGTCGGGATTACTCAAGTTGCTCGGTCAGGGGTCACTTGAGTTACTCCTGACCGAGTAACCCCTCAAGTAACCCTTGACCGAGTAACCTCTCAAGTAATTCATGACCGAACCCCTCGAGTAACCCCTGATCGAGTAACCCCTCAAGTAACCCTTGACTGAGTAACCCATCAAGTAACCCCTGACTGAACCCTCAAGTAACCCCTGACCCAGTAACTCAAGTAACCCTTGACCGAGTAACTCGAGTAACCTATGACCGAGTAACCCCTAACCAAATAACTTGAGTAACCCCTGACCGAACTCCTTAAAATAACCTCTGATCGAGTAACTCGAGTAACCCATGACTGAGTAACCCCTAACCGAGTAACTCGAGTAACCCTTGACCGAGTGAACCCCTCGAGTAACCCCTGTTCGAACCCCTCAAGTAACCCCTAAACAAGTAACTCGAGTAACCCCTGACTGAATAACTTGGGTAACCCCTAACAAAAAAAACTTGGGTAACCCCTAACAAAAAAACTCGGGTAACCCCTGCCGCATGGTGCGGCCTGCTGCACCAAAAAGTTGTTAATGTGTGAATGTATTGTGCAATATTGTTATTGTCAAACAAATGAATATTCATGGACATTATTTTTAAAATATATATTTATCTAAAATACTCCCTCCGTTAATTTTTATTTGCAACTTTTGCCATTTTAGTCCGCTAAAAATTATTTGCAACTTTCTAATTTATTTCCATTTTTGGTAAACAAAAACCCAAAAAATTACTATTTTAATTCTACCCCTTATTAACCCTAATCCCACATTATATACAAAACATCTAAATTAACCTAATCTAATTACTCCCTCCATTTATTTCCCCCAATCCAATCCCATCAGCCACATTCCCAACCACCAACATTTAATTGAAAAAACATTGGGATTATTTATGGCTTCTCGAGTCTTCTTAAGAACCCTAGATCTGGTTCTTCGACTTTCACTCTCCTTCGCCTCTGTAATTTTCTCCATTGTTCCTCCTGAAATCTGAGTTTTCGTTCTCTCAACTTCCAAAAAAAAGAGTCCCCCACCACCATGGTTAACCTATCTCCACTTCGCGACGCTTATATTGCCACCGATGACGAGGGCGAGGCAAACTTGATAAAAACCCTGATGAAAGGTATCGCCGAAGGATCTCCTTTTCCTCGTGAGTTATACGCGTTTGAGGAGGCCCTGAATTACTGTTCTCCGACCACATACAAGGCCTTGGGCCAAGTTCTTGAAAGCGTAGACGAGGATGAGCGTCGCAAGACCGGTGAGGGTCAAGGAGATTCACGGGGGAAACAAGCGCTAGACTGCACTGGTGTTTCTGTAGATCCAGTGTGCGACAGTGCTGAGGGGAGTGTTATGCCCAAAACTAAGCCCAAATCTAACAATCCAAGGCCACCACGCAAGATTCGGCCTAAAAGGAAGGCGGCCCTGGTGGCTTTGAGTCGTATTCGAGGGTTGCCTGACAAGGAGGTCATTATCCTGAATTCTGATGACGAGGCTGACCAAGGTGACGACGGTGAAGTGGTTGGCCTTCTTCTGAAGAAGCACTCTGCGAGGCGGATGAACCTTAGGGTTCAACCCTCCAAGTGACCCTTGCGTAACGCTTTCTAACCCTTCCTGTGTTAATTTTTTTTTAAAAAGAGTCCCTATTTTTTTATTTTTTTGATATACTGTTGATTAGCTTTGTTATTTGGTAGGTGTTGTGGGATTCTGTGACTAGATCTGGATGCATGTTGGCTTAGTTGGTTTTGTATGCGTAGATCTGGATTGATGTTGGATGGTTGCCTGTTTTTTATTGCCTGCTCTTTTGTCATGTTTGCTGTTCCGGAATTTGTTGGCTGGATAGCCTGTTTGTTATTGGCTGGTCAGTTGGATGCTTGGCTATGTCTGCTGTTCTGGACTATGTTGCATGTATGCATGTGTTGGAGTATATTTTAGCATGGATGGTTGCCTGTTTTTGATTGCCTGCTCTTTTGTTATGTTTGTTGTTCCGGAATTTGTTGGCTAGATAGCCTGTTTGTTATTGGTTGGTCAGTTGGATGCTTGGCTATGTCTGTTGTTCTGGACTATGTTGCATGTATGCATGTGTTGGAGTATATTTTAGCAGCTGTTGGATTGTTGGAAAATGGCATATGGGTGTTTGATTGATGAATGATGAGGCTAATGTGTCTGTACATTTTTTAAAGGTGCCTTGGTCATACCTTGAAGTGTTCTCAATGATCAATTAAGTAGAGAACACATGACAATCCTTTATGTGGTATCATGACTTGTATTCAGTCCCCTAAGTGTCTGTGTTGTGGACTCTGTCCAAATCCAAATGAGGAAGGGACTCTATTGACCTTCCCAACCCACAAGTGTTTTGCTCCAATGATGTGCTTTATGCTGTTATTGTTGAGGTAACCTTGTGGTTGGTGGTTTATTGAAACATGGAAAAAAAAAACTTCTGATGGATTGAGTGCCCACTTAACATCAGACTCTAAACCATTTCTATTCCATTGAACATGTGGTTACAAAAGTACTTGACATTAGACTGCCTAACATGATTCATCACTGTAATCAACAAAATACACCTAACCACCTAATACCAGAATAAAAAACAGAACATAAAACAAAATTACCATACCAACTGTAAGTGGTTATGTGTGGCAGTCCATGTGTCTCTACTTTGATGTGATGAGTCCCTCAGTCTGCATCTACCTCAAATTCTTCTGTTCCTTGTTCAGTCCCCTCATTTACTGGCCTAAACATAGTGTCTAGGTACTCCAATGCCTCCAAAACAAGTTCCTTCTGCACTGGTACATTATTTGGAAACTCTCCAAGGTTTTCGAGTTTTTTCTTATTCATGTGGGGTAATTTGTACTTATTCCCACCTTGTACCTTAAGGATCTCAATCATGCACTTTTGCAAAGACAGCCAAATGTACTTGTTGACTTGAGGATTGAATGCCTCATAAGATTCTTGCACTTTTGTAACTAACTCATCTAGGTTGCTAGGAAAAGACTGATATTGCAATGATTGAATTGACCTAAACAACCCTAAGTCAAGCACATTCAAATCTGGTGATTATGGTGGTTGGAAAACAAATTGAATGTTAAATCCATGAGCTGTTGTTGCTGCCATAAACTCTGCATCAGTAGGAACTTGGTGTGGCCTTGCATTGTCCCATTAGATTACAATATTTTTTGGCGGACTGTCAGGCCACATTGAAATAATTGCTGGAATGACATTGGCCACCAACATGTCTCTGATGACCTCTCTGTTTACATTCTGTATTGCTTTTGTTTCCCATGTTCCTGCTACTCTGTTTTTACTTGACTTCTTGGCTAGTTGTTTGACTGTGAATGGGAATATTCCATATTTCCCATCATGAAGTAGTCCCCCATCTGTGTCATACAATGGCTTCCCAATTAAGCCCATAAACGTTGCTTTGAGCTTGAATCTTGTGGACTGTATAGGCCTATAAGGATCTTCCTCACTAGGTAGGAGGTAAAACCTCCTCTTGTCAGGGTTTAGATAGAACCATTTCTCATCCATGTGTATCACATTGTTCATTTCAACAAATGTTGGTTCCCCATTACTTGTAACTGGATTTATGTGTGACAAAATCCATTTCATTCTTGCTACCTTGTGGTCTGATGTCAGGGCTGGCTTGTTGGTACTTGTGTGTGTTCTTAACCTTCCCTTTTTCTTCAAATTGTGAAGTGTCACATGGGAGATCTTTAATGCTGCTGCATAGCTCCTTTCTTTCTGCCTTAAATGTAAAGGCACTGATTGTAGGAATTCATCAGAAAATTCCTTTGGCTTTCGGCCTACTCTGCCAAATTTTTTGCTCCTAACATCAATCAAACTGCCCTGTGCCATTTGTTTCTTTATGTCTGAAAAAATTCTTGTGATGCTTGATTTGTGCACATTGTAATTAACTGCCAAATGCTTTAAGTGACCTCTTGGTAAGTTGCCTTGATGCATGTTGACCAACATTGAATCCACTATTTCTCTTCTTTGTTTCATGGTGAGCTGCTTTCTTTGTCTCTGTTGAGTCCCCTGGTGAATGGCTTGTTCCATTTCCTGGAAACCACCCTCAGCTTGTGTGTGTTCAGTGTTTTGCTGGCCTTGGTCTTCTCCTTCTGCCTCTTGCATCATATCATCTTCAGAGTCGTAGTAATCCATGCCTAAATCTTGCATATTTTCTGCGTATTCGTAGTACAATTCTGCCTCTTATTCTTCTGTCAAAATTTGATCCACATCGAAGTACGTCGCTTCAAATGAGTCTGCCATGGTTGTCTGACCTTGTTTGTTTCCTTAGCTTCAGCTGATTGATGTAACGATGGATGTTGTGTTTTTGAGAACAAGATGAAGGAAGAAGGAGCTGCAGCTGCCTATGAAGGTGTTTGGGTCTTAGTTGGGTAGTATTAATTTAATTGTAGGAATTTTTTTGGTATATAATGGGCTAACGTCGTGTAATTTTGTAAGGTAGATTATGTTTTGGAGGAACAATGTTTATGTTTTGGGTGAACAAGAAACCATTAAATGCTGTTTGAATGGAGAGGCTGTATTTAATTGCCTCTGTAATATGAAATGCAATGCTTATATAAGTCTGCAGATTTTAAACAGTATACTGTTTTGTAGTTTAAAATTTTGGAAAATTTTGGTGGGAAATGAAATTTCTCCAAAATTCAGCCTAGAACAAAATTTAGTTGAAATTTTGGGGGAAAATACAATCCCTCCAAAAGTTGTACAGGTTTTCCCACTACTTTTCTTAGTGGTGGGCCAAACCTTTCTCTCTCCAAACACTTTAATCACATTCAATTAACCCCACTAATATTTGCCCCTTTAACTTTTGTCTCGTAAACCGCAATTCCCCCTAAAGTTGCAAATAAAAATTAACGGGGGGAGTATGTTTTTTAATAAATAAATTGTGCAAGCTAAAGAATAAACGTTGAAAGCATGACTTTGTTAATTCAAATCTCTTGTTTGGTAATTATGTCATCCCTTGAAATAAATCTTAATGAACTAAAGAGAACTATAACATAAAACAAAAATAAAACATTATTAAAAATGCTTAATGATCAAAGATAGGACATAGAATGTGAGCTAATACTCCCAATCAGATGATGTTGAATCGATGGATGAGGTGATTGGCGAAGGCAATGTGGTTGCGGCTGATCTGTTCGTCGTCCTCATCATCATCCTGCGACGGCCTAGACAGTCGTAGAAGGTCAAGACTATGGGGAGACGGAGCAGTAGAAGCATCAGCAACTGCAGAAAAGTCATTATTATAAGTAGAAGAAACATGGCCAGTTGTAGTTGCACTAGTATTCATGTTAAGAAGGTTGTTTGAAGCAGACGAGTTGTTCGAGTAGGCAGGCTGATGATGAACATGGTGGTTATGAGGAAGATGCATTACTTCGTATCCATTGCCTAGTTGTTGTTGCGAGGTTTGAAGGGCGTTTGCCATTGCCAATCGGCTGTTGATTACTTGGCTCTGTACCATTGCTAACTCTGCTTGTAAGGTTGCTACCTGAAATTTTTAGCAATACATGAAAGTCGTGTTACGTGAATATGTATCATTTTAACATCGAATCCAAATGCTACATCTTACTTTTCATGTTCAATGATCTATACTCGTTCTTATTGGTTCATGCTTTTTTATAACCCCGTAACTTATTCAATAAATTAATACAGAGGAAAACATGTTGAATTATTGGACCAATCGAATTAGTAAACAAACTTTTTTTTCTTGTGCTCGATCAATTATTCACTTACAAATTATTGGTAGAAGGCATTTACTTTTGAAACAGAAATGCATTAAATAAACGTTCTTACGTTATGTTACCTTGGGTTTGCTTGCATGAATTATGCGTCACAAAATATACGAGGAAGAAAATGCAACATTCTTTTCATGTATGATAATTATCACTTTCACATTAAATATACGAGAAATTGATGATTTTACAACCTCTTAAGTAACAAGTGCTGAAATGGAAATTGGTGTGTGTATACACATATATGTAAAACATTATGCAACATCAATTTATTTTTATTTTTTTTCACAAGGGGGAAAAAAAAAGGCTATCTTCCAACTGACTCGAGAATACAAGTCATTAATTGTATGCAACATCGAATAAATGCTAAGATATTAAGCATAAAGGAGTAGAATTTCACCTGTTGCTGCAAGGCAAGGATAGTAGAGACGCAACCATACACCGGGTCAGAAAGCCGAGCTTGAGCCTCATACGATATAGTAACAACAGCATCCTGCCTCCGATTCATAGGAATATGAAGCAACAGCTTAGACACATTACTAGCACCAAACACCTTATGAACAGCAGCAAAACGCGCTGCACCTTGATCAGACCCAAAATGAGGTGCAAAAATACACCCATTAGTACACTTCCTCCTTAGGAACTTACAAGCACCACAAGGAGCTAATGGACCCTCTTGATCACCCGAGGCAGCAGCAGTGGCAGAGGCTCGTTTTCCGAGCTTGCGACGCCCATCATGGTGGTCTGGCATAGCTAAGAAAGAATGATAAGAGGGGTGTGAGTAGAATGGCAGGGGATGGAGTTGGTTATAAGGGGGAGGGAAAGAGAGGTCCACGTTTGTTTCATGAATGGGTTTGGCGAGGTTAATATGATAATTATGAGATACTGATTAATTAAAAGTTGTAATTAAGGAAAAAAAACGTTATTATTAAAAACGGTTGGTAAATTTTAAGGGGATTGAAAAGAGTGTTAGCAACAGTGATTTTTTGTGTGAAGAGTGGGGTTTTTCTTGTTTTACAAAAGTTAGTTTTGGTGTACATTAAGGCTAATTAATTAAAGTTTGTTCTAAAAAATAATTAAATAGTGAATTAATTAGAGTTGGTTATGTGATTAAATGAGTTAATCTGTCCTGTTAAAGGAGACACAAGATTTGTGCTGCCCGTAGCGTGTGGAAGATGGTGGCAAGACTGGTAACTGATGAGGGTTATAGTCTTATAGAAACTATAATATATTAAGTAATGTATAATGTTTCTTCATGTGTATATTTATATAATATATGGTTTTGTCACAACCCTCTACGGCAAGTAGGTTTATATGCATCAATAATTAATATTAAATGTATTTGTTAATTTGTACTCCATATTTGTTAACTAAGATAACAACTTAGGAGTTAGGAGATATCAAATACTAATCCTTAATGTAAATGTAACAAATTGCAAAATATTGTTGTCATTTATATGATGCTAATAGGGTGATTCATGTGTCAAAAATCGAACTAGACCGAATGTAGGAAAATTTAAAATTTAAGGCCGATTATCATACCGGTTATGGTAGTATAGGAATCAATACGATAAAAAAAAAATGGTCTAAAATTCGAATGTGACTGGTTTTAAACTTTTTTTTTTACAAAAAAAAAAAAATTAATTTTGTAAAATAATAATGTGAAAAAATAAACATGTTTTGCATGTACATTCCTACTTTAATAGCTAGCGTAATAATTGTATAAAGAATAACTTAAAATATAATTATCTTCATGATATACTCCCTCTGTTTCTAAAAGTATAACTAATTTATTGTAGACTCTTAATTCTAGGAATTTTTTTAAAATGTGAGTAGACTGTAACATAAAGGAGGAATAAAAGAGTGAGTTGATGTAATAAAAATGTGAATAAAGCACAAAATAAACATATAAATGATGTGGGGGTAAGTAAAGTAGAATACAGTGGTAAAAAGATTTTGTCAAAAATAGAATGAAGTAATAGTGAGTTGGAAAGTGATATTCAGGAAGAAAATTACTTATTTTGAAGAATTTTAATTTAATTTAAAACTAACTTTAATGGATCGAGTTTAGGATGATAAAAGCGTCACCCTATTAACATGTGAGCATATGAATAAAATATCCATTTAAAATTGGCATCCCTATTAACAACTTACGTAGCTTGACTTTTAAGAGATTTTGGATTAGACCAATCGAAGGTCAAAAGTAATCGGTTATTTTCAATCGGATTAATAAAACAACTATTGTCAATTGCCATTGCACACATTTCAAAACTCTTGACAGTTTCAGTAACATGTAACAATATAGTGTAAAGGGTAACTTTTCGAACACCTACATGTTCTCATGGAAAAGATATTTATATAACAGAATTAATGGTAGAATACAGATACAAGAAGAAATATGTTTACCAATTTTATAGCCTTTTCTGGAAAGTGGAAAGCATGAATATTCAGAACGGTAGCAATTGTCTGTCATGTGTCTTCTGAGGGCAAGATGCCGAAACAGCAAGAGCTACCACAAAAACAATGCAACCCTTCCGGTCTAAGCCTAACATCTCCATAGCTAAAGCTAAGTTCTTCCCCTGCCTGTATATCTCTGGAAGCGAAAAAGCAAACCCGGGGCAATAGAGCTCCTGAACTTCTAATCAGTATTGCGGACAGATTGCCGCCATCACAAGAATGATTTATAAATCGTGCAACATTACCAATTCTTGTGGCGTCAATATTGATCCTGAAACATGCTTTTCTTGATGGAAGAAACTCCCGCACCACCAAAAGAGCAGATGAAAAACAGCCACCTTTTGCTAGTTCGTCATACACTTGTTGCCGTCTCTTTGCTTCTTTAGTTGTCAATAGTTCACCTAATATAGAGTTCAAATCAACCATCAACTAGATTTCACAATAAAATCAAGATAGAAACCTTATTATGTTCATTCATACACCCAACCAGTGTCAAGATCTATAGTAATCATTACACACACATCATAGAAGTTTCCATCGTATCATAACTACAATTACATTGATAAATTAAGTGAGAAACTAAATCTTCCTAGGATGAAGTAAAATTTCGTAGTCCACATCCCCCTCCCGGCCTCCCCCCTTCCCATTCAAAAAAAAGGTAGGGAAGATGGGTAGGAGAGGCAATAGTATATCAGGGATGTTAAGAAAACAAATACTTTATAGAAGAGCAACATAGCTCTTGTTTGGTAACACTAGTACTCTTGTCTAGCTTTTTGATTATTTAACTTCATTGGGAAGCAAACAACCCATCCGGGGAAAATACCGTTTATATTGCATAAAACTAGGTTCCATCAAGAATTTGAGAGTAATGAGCTAAATATCTGAGACGAGAACTTTAATGTATTTCATAAAGCAGAGGCTACCAAGATGGCTCATTAGAAAATGCAAATAATATACTACGTAGGCAACATTATGATATACTGCCGTATGTTTTGTTTTGCTAAAACTCATTGCATTCACTTTCTCACCGGCCTCCAATTCCTCCATGTTGATTTCTACCGTTCTTACAATAGCCAAATCAAAGAGTAAAAGGAAAAAAAATAAAAATAAAAAACAAAGGTTCTACTATGAGAAAGATAAAAGGCAAAGGAAGTTATTTGGGGTGTGTGAGAAACAGAGATTTTGAACAAAATCAGAACATAACACAACCCAATGAGTAACTATATGGAAACATCCAGGATAGTTAATGTAATGAAACAGAATATTGCCTAGCTGCCAACCATGTAATCAAAGTTTAAATAATGATAAAATATTAAACACCTAACAGGTATACTTTGCTGCGGTTTAATGTAAAGGACAGCGCTTGATATGGTACGAATTCTATATATGCCATATTATCAACCTGTATCAGCTCTTCAATGGCCACATCGACTGATATTAAATGGATGGCTACAAAAATGGAACTAAAGGCTCAGTATTATTATCCTTATCTTCTCCTCAAACAATTCAAAAAACAGATAATCCATCAATGATCACTTCAAAATCATTACAGCTGCCAAAAGTGATTTTGATCTATATTCATTCTCCCCAAAGCAGCAAGTGTGGTAAAGGCTGAGGCATACAACTAGGTCACAAAGCAGCCCAGACATTATGCCAAAGCACCAAGCTGCCTAAATAAGCCATAACTATGGGCGTAAAAGGGGAAAGGGGGAGGGTGGGGGGGGGGGAGAGGGGGTGAGTGGGGGGGAGGGGGGGTGAGAGGGGGGGAGAGGGTGGGTGGGGGAGGTGGGGATTGAGCAACCATCAGTTAAGAAGCAAAAAAGATAGGGGTATTTACAGACAGAATGAGTCTACAAAAAGAAAAAGTTTACAAAAATATAGATTTACAGCAACTTTCAGTTGGAGCAATTCTTCTTTCACTCTTTTTCTCCATGTGACTCCGAAAGATCTATGCAGAGCAACCAAAATATGCCCAACCCACAAAAAGCCTAAGCACAACAGCTAACCAACCACTAAAATGACTTAGAACTTTCACAATTTATCAAAAGGAATAGATAATCGTGTAAAATAAACCAAGCTAAACCTAATTATCATCACATCCATGATTAAATTCATTAAGCTTAATAAAGTCAAGTTTAGCTGATTGGGCCTACTTACCAAACTCCACACCAAAAAAAACTAACTTGGCTTAATGGTAGGCTTGTTCATCAATCGAGAAACATGCTCTCATCCATCTAAAGTTCATATATATAATTTCCTTTCAACAACTTCATATCAATCTATAATCATTAAATTTAAAGAGCTTATTTTAACTTTGTTCCAATACTGACACACAAAAAAATCTTATGAGCCAATTTTAGCTTGGCTTATGATCAGGTTGTTTCACCAATCGAATTATAGTAGGGTCTATCTCTATCATTCATACAAAATAATTTCCCTTAACCAAGCGTTTGTTATGCTACAATCATTTGATTGAAACAGACTCATTTCAACCTTAGTCTTAATAAACAAGCAAAGCTTATGAAGTGACATTCATCTATATGCTAAATTATCAACTTCAAATCAACAAGCCTTAAACAATCTTTTTATTAATGATAAAACAAGCTTTTAATCAATCAATCAAACAAACAAATAAGTAGTCTACTGCTGTGAATAAATAAGTTAATAATGAACATCAATGATTGATCTGCTATTAATGCTCAAACTTGTATACATATGAGGGAAAAACACACATAACAAACTTTAACTGAGATTTATCTCCATTTGCTCAATGAACATATTCAGTTAGTTTCCATCCATACATTTAAAGTGGTAGGATCAACTATCATTTCTCAAAGTTTGGACATTTTGAACCCAAATTCCAAACTTATCACAGTAATAATGTCCCAACACTTGTCAACTAGGATAATAAAACAAAAGGTCACTTTTTTAAAATGCTAACTTCTTTAAACTACAATGCAATGTACACACTACCCTATTTTTTAAATACTCCTCAAAGTTTATTTGTTTCAAAATGCAAATAAAAGCTAATTTGGGAAATGCCACTATCATTGGAGATGGAAAGTACCCGAGAGATTCAAAAACAATTTTTAACGCATCACCATACCCTCCCTAAGCTAACCATCAACTAAACATAAGCGAATAATCTAAGATAGGGTTGAGAGGACATGGCACCAAGCAGTTTTGTTAAAAGAACCTATAGATACTTCCTTGCTGAGGACGATGGAGGGCACATCAGGATTTTAACTGAGACTTAATGTCAATGGTAAGGGAAATATGTAGGGAAATTTATTTAGTCATTCAATTCATTTCTCATCTTTCTTTGAGAGCGTCTACTGCCCAGCAACTCAAATATCAGTAGTATTCTATAATGTGAGGAATTAGCAGCATAACTTATATAACTTGTTATCATTTTCTAAATTTTTCTCTCCTTTTCTCTCTCTATATTTTAAATTGTGCACAATGATCCAATATACCCTTCATACAACATAATCTCTCCTCATTAGACGGTCATGCATATAGTACATCAAACAATACTGTACTGTCAAAGATTCACAGCACACTGATTTCTCAACAGCTCGTGTTTTACAGAAGCTTTTGTTCTACATTTATGATTACTTCTTGGTAAATATGAGCACACACAATACTAACGTTCAAACATCACACCATCAATTCTCGGCGCAACCCAGAATTCCAATAAAAATCAATTCTCATTTACCACAGTAACTTCAAAATGCAATACAAGCCAACTAAATTAATCGCAACAAAATTATTCAAAAAACAGGGAAAATTTGATGCTATCAAAAAAATTGTCGCCAAAACGAAAATTCAGATTACCTGCATATTCACAGACAAACTTTCCCTCAGGAATGAACTGAGCAGCAAACAAACCCCAACCCTTTTTCTCAACCCTAACAATCTTCAACTCAACACTAACACCCATCTGAGTAACCCGATTCCCACAATTCAATTCACAATCACAACTCGTTCCGCACTCGGTCCTCATCTCACCACCCCACAACACCGCACAAGAGCAATCCTCATCACAAATCTCACCACAATCACACCCAACAGAGTCAGAAACTCCCAGAAAAGAATCAAAATTGAAATGGGTATTACAATTAGGGTTAGGGTTTATTCTACCGCCCCAAAATTGACGAGAAAAATTGGGGGAAGAGGTAAGGTAAGTGGGGGTGTAGAGGAAGAAAGTGTAGGAGTGAGAATCAACGGTGTTGATGAAAGGAATGGGAAGAGGTTCGAATAATCTGGAAGCATCGGAAGATCGGACGGTGGTGATGAGTTTGGAGAGGTGGGATAGGGTGTGGCAGGTGCAGGATATGGAAGCGAGTTCTTGAGGTGTTAGCCATGGAAGTACGAGCTCTGAAATTGATAGGAAGGGAGATGGTGGTGTTGGTGTGTGTTGCGCGTGTCGCTTTGAAGTAGGCGCGCTCATTGCTACATGAATGAATACAAAAAAACATTTGAAAGGGGGTGTAATATATGAGAAAATACAAGTCTCTCAATATCAAAGGGGCAAATCTGTCATTTTAGTGCATAATTAGGGTTAATTTTGTAATTTTGTAAAAACAAAATTTGTATTTTCAAGCTAGAACAGAAAGTTTCAATGGAGCATTGAAGAAGTTCAACCGAAAATGGAAGAACTTCAATGGAGAACGATCTAAACCTTTCCTGTAAGGGTTAACTTTGCCCTTCTTTTCTCCCTTTATGGTTAGGGTCTTCGTTTAATCGGCGACGTCGTCGCTGATAATATGGTGGTGACAGTGGTTGTTCACGACCCACTTCAATGGAGGAGGAGGGAGGAAGCATGAAGAAGATGAGGATGAAATAGATGGGGCATGAAGAAGAAGAAAGCATAAAAGATAGTACAAAAAAATATTATAAAATTCATAAAATTCCTCTTATTTGCAATTATGCCATTTTGAGATACATCAATGTATCTCATGTTGAGATATTGGGGCTAGCTCGTAATATACTCCGATTACTCCCTCCTATGTTGATAAAATACAAGTTTCACTTTTTTATAAATATTTTGAGGCCAATTAATCATCGATAAAAAGTAACAAGCTAAACGACGCCCTTATTTTACTAGGTAACGCCCAAATTTAAATATGAATGTGTTTCGGGGTTTTTTGATGTCCTGCGGGAGAGTTACAATTTCGAGACTGGAACCGGACGCCTGTACCTGCAAAACAAACGGAGACTCCGAGTGATTGGAGTTCCGCCTCCAACGGTCAAGTTAGTACTTGTTTAGGGAGTAATTAATGCGGAAAAAAGGTAAATGAGTCTCTCTAGGTGATACTGTTTAATGTGCGTAATCCCGTTTAATGAGGATTAATGAGCATATTTATATGCATTGGGATGCGTGCCAATTCCTAGGTTTAGGTTAAACCTAGGGCTGACTGGGCTTTCCCCAAGGATTGGGCCTTGGTGGCCGGTTATCCCATGTGTCATGGGGTGGACACGTGTCGTGTCGTAATTGGTCCATGGTGGACGGATCACTGCTTGACACGTGGCAGGCTCCTATTGGCCCATATGAAGGACACATGGCGGAACTTGGTTGGTCCACTTATCAGAGGGTGATTGGTGGGAAAAATCCCCTAATCATTTGCCCCTCACAGGTGGCACGTGACCGGTCACATGTCACCTGTGACAGGTGTCGGCTCGTAATAGGCGACGACCTGCTACAGGTGTCATTTGGTGAAAGGCCGAGGGTTTTTTCCCGCTCAAATTTTGAATTTGGGAAGTGACTCTTCGTCTTCTCATTTTGCCTATATAAGGGCGTGTTGACTTCAGATATTTTCACACTTGAGAACCTTTTAAAGAGAACACTCGGACCCCTGAACCTGCTATGACATTTCGGACATTTCCAGCCTACCGCCTGCTCTGACAAGTCGGCTGATACTCAGATTACTTTCCAGATCTTCGTCAACTTCTCACTCGTTCAGGTAACCGTCTGTTCTCTCATTCTTTTACTTTAATTTTTCTTTTTGAAATGGCACCATGGAAGCACACGACACGACCTAGGTTAGTGATCAGCCGGTCACCGGGGATGGCTGAGTCTAGGACTAGGAGTGTCGCCTGCCCCTTTTCGAACCAACCTTTGCCCTTTATACAAAGTCCGACTGTCTCTGTGTCTATGCAGAACATAATGGCCAGAACAAAAAGAACTGCTAGGATCACAAATTTGGACTGCTCCTCCTACCAGGTGCCGATTAGTGAGACATCTGACCAAGCGCCAGATGTTGAAGTGAACCAAGGCGGCTTGTGCCGACAGCTCTGAGGGAGGGATCAAGGTGGTCCCTTCCCATTTTACCGTAGATATGTCTACATATTCTCCCGCTCCTGTTGAAGGAGAGGAGGCGGGCCCCTCTGGGAGAGGGGAGGAGTGGAGTCGTCCTCTTCAGACTCTTCAGAAGACAAGTCCGACTCCAGTTCGTCTGGTCACCCTTCTCTCGACACAGAGGAGAGACACAACCGCCTACAAGAGGCGAGGCTTTCTCATTCAGTAGAGAAAGGGGACAATTGGGCGGAGCCATCCGCCACCTATAGAGAGCAAAACACCCCTTACTATTGCACTGTTCCAAAAGGCCGAATCAAGGCCATGCAAGAGAAAGTGGGCAGCTTCATAGCGAACCATGCAATGGGTCCTGGCTTTCGAGTTTTTGTGCCAGATCCGAAAGACACAGTCGTCTGGCCAGCTGGGACCAGTTATGATAGCACCTGCTTTGGCTGCTATGAGGCGGCCATTAGAGTTGGGTTGCGCTTCCCCTTACATCCGGTTGTTCAGCGAATCCTTGACGGATATGAGTTGGGGTTATGGCAGTTAGCCCCAAATTCCAGGTTCAACGTTCTCGGCTATGTAGCCGGGTGTGAAATGTATGGGGTGGAGCCAAATTTCGAGGCTTTCGTCCACATGAACTATCTCAGCCGCACCCCTAAGGCAGGCGGTACCGGCTGGTACCAATTGACGAGCCACAGAGGTTACCTCATGACAAGAGGTAAAGAAAACAAATGGAAGGATTAGAGAAGCACCTTCCTCATCATTGAGAGTTTAGACAAGGAGCTGAACCAACACTTTAATAGGTGGAACAGAGACCCGCCTCTTCTTGCAGGCGGTCGCAGCATGCCGCCTGTTCCCCCAAAAGCTAAAAAAGAGATCCTAGACCGAGGGCTCTTTAAAGTAGAGACCAGGGTCGACTCTACTACAGGGGTACGAGAGCAAGTACCCCTGCACTGCGTCCAGAGCTACAAATGGCTCTATGACGAGTACTTCCTGGCCGCTTGTGGCCTCAGCAGTCGGTGTCCTAGAGGTAGCCGACCTGTCGAATACATTCTTTTGTGGAAATTATTTTTTGAATTTTTCTAACTTTCTTATTCGTTTATGCAGCGGAAGCCATGAGCAAAATTACCGCCTCCAAAACAGCGGCTGCTATGTTGCGAGCATCCATCATGCAGCAACACTCATCAGCCGACTCTCCCACCAAGGAGACTCCCTTAGTGAGTTCCCAGCTTTCACCCCTCCTTTTTCTGTTAAAAGGTTGGGTTTATACACATATTAACCATTCATCTTTTTGCAGGCGGGCACCCAAAGAGCTTCCTCCTCCCAACAGCCGGACTCCAAAGCCCGGAAGACGACTGTTGCGAGTTCGCCTGGTTCTGCCAGGAAACCAGCGGCTGTTGACAAGCAGCCGGCCACTCCATCCAGCAGGCCGCCTAGAAGTATGAGACTGCTCCTCTAGACTTTTGACCCACTTTTCTTTCACATTGTCTCAAATTCTTGTTCACTCTTCCCTCAAGAACCGGACCTGGTCGAAGTGGCCAAGTCCATGATAAAAGTCGTCCCTCCTGGAGAGAGAGACGCGGTCAGGGGTGTCGGCACCCTTGACCTAGATGGAATTGTAGGGCTCCTTGCTGAGGTATACTTAGCGTATTTTTGCTGTTTTAATTCCAGGACGCCTGTTTTTCATTTGAAATATGACGTCTGTTTTCTTTTATTCAATCCCTGCTCCGAGTAAACGGCCTTCGCAAGCCCCTTAATGCGAAGAACAAAGAGGTAAAGGCTGCTAAAGCAATGGCCGCCTCTGACTGTGATAAGGCAATGTTTCAAATTGCCCAAAATGAAATTTTGACAACTGATATTCTTTATTATCAGGCGCAGGCCACTTCTGCTATTAGGACTCAGTTGGAGGCGGCCCAGAAGAAAAATAATGAGTTGGAGGCGACCATCCAGAACCTCAAAGCCGAGTTGAGGCCTCTCCGTCAAAAGATGTCCTCATACGACACCTTGGAGAAATCCTTGGAGCATGTCAAGGAACGCTTGGCAACCCAGGAGAAGAGACTCACTGAAGAGCTCTCGGCCAAGGCTGAGCAAGAGAAGAAGGATTTGGTCCGAGAAATGATGGAGGACTCGGCCCATATCCAGCGCATGACCTAGAGTCGTCTCTTTCCAAATGCCGACTTTGCTTCTTGGGAAAAACAATTTCGCTAATTCTCTGAAACGTATAACCAAGAAGTCCTAGCGGCTGCTGAGAATGAGGCGCTAGAGGAGGAGGCAGAGGATCCGATAGTGGCCTTGGTGCCGATTGGAGCAGATGCATCTAAAAAGAGTGCAGCCGATGCCGAGTCAAGCAAGAAGAATGCTGAGCAGGCGGCTGTTGTTGTTGAAAATCTGCCCCATCTTAAAGCTTATTACTTTTTTCTTTGGCCTACGTGCCGTCTGTTTCTGTTTCTTTTTACCCGGCCAAGGGGTCGGGGTCTGAATATTTTTCCGGTCTTTATGGCCGGCTTAATTTTGTATCTTTACCCGGCCAAGGGGCCGGGGTCTTGAATATTTGTGCCGGTCTTTATGGCCGGCTGTTAATAGAATTTCGGCGACCATCTTTTTAGGTCGCCTTAGCTGCCAAATTTCGAATTGTGCTCTTATTTTTTCTAAGTGTCGAAACTCTGGTATCCACTTGCATGCCATACCGACTATTTTGTATGGCCGATAGTTGTAGACAGGTACAATGTAGGAGCTGCCTATGCCCCTAGACAACTGATTGTCTATTTCCCGGCTAGGCGATCAGTCGGCCATTTATCCAACCAGTCTCTAACGTATCTTGATGACTGGTTCCCCTTTAGGCAGGCGGTTCCGTCATGTTTTCTGAAATCTGCTAAGTGGGAAAGTGATTACTCGCTTTCCATGGTTATTGTTTAAGTAGTAGAGGCACTAAGCGGCATGGGCCGGCTAGTTCCCTATGTGATAACTTAGTAAGAACAGGCGATATATGAAAACCTTTTTCAATTTTAGACCAAGTTTTAAGGAGTGGCTATAAGTAAACGTGAACATCACTCAGTTGCCGCCACTATTGTTTGAGTAGTAGAGGTACCAGGCGGCGGAAGCCGATTGGACCCCTTTATTCGCCAATGTTTGTTGGCTATTAACTCAAAGGGTACCGACTGTACTTATCCCAAGTAGTACAGTCGGTTATCTGAAGCGGATGCTAACTGCAAACACTTGTTGGACCAGTGAGAGTTATCCTTGTCTCAGAAACGGTTACGTGGTTGTCTTAGTAGACAGTCGTATAGGTGTCGTGTAATTAATTTATAGAACAATGTTCCACCCAAAAGAGAGCTGCTCTCTGCGACGAATTTCATCCGGATGGATGCCGCCGGACGCCTGCTATGATGTTGGGACAGGGCGAATTAATTTAAAAGTTGGATTAGTTGGCCTAGCGCCTGGTCTGATTATTTCGGCCATAGGCCTTAGATAGTTCTTGGTGAACTATGTATGGGAGAGTAGCCGGTTGTATAGAACAAGCGACATGCCCCTCTTAATTAAACGTGTAAATAAAGAGCTTGGAGAGTAGCCGACTGTTTTACCAATAGGCATGCCCTCTTAGTACAAAACAAATGAAGTGAACAAGCGGGCTTTTATTAGGTAGCTCTCGGCTATTTACATTATTCAAAAATAATACTTTTTGAGATTATCTACATTCCAAGTTCGAGGCAAGAGTTGGTCGTCTGGTGTTTCCAGACGGTAGGTGTCGTCCCGTACTTCTTCGTAGATTCGGTAGGGTCCTTCCCAGTTGGGAGTTAATTTGCCGGACTCATTATCCCTACCGACTGCTTCCATCTTTCTTAGTACAAAGTCCCCCGTTTTGAGTGGACGCCTGTGTACTTTTTTGTTATATGATTTGGTCATTCTCAGGCGGTAAATTTCATGGCGCAAGGCTGCATTGCCCCTCCTTTCTGGGAGTGAGTCCAGAGCCAGACGCATGGATTCCCAGTTCGCCTCTTCGTCGTATAACATTACTCGAAGAGTCGACTCGTAGTGTTCAATTGGGAGAACAGCTTCCGCACCATAGGTTAGGAGAAATGGAGTCTCTCCCGTTGACCCTTTTTCAGTCGTCCTAATGGCCCAGAGAAGATGTGGTAGTTCATCTGCCCATAGGTCTCCTGCTCGTTCAATCTTCTTCTTGAGACCGTCTGAGATGATCTTATTGAAAGCTTCTACTTGGCCGTTTGCTTGTGGACGGCCGACTGATGCAAAGTAATGTGAAATACCTTAGTCTCCCAGCCAGTTTTTGAGAACAGGCGTTTCAAATTGGGGACCATTGTCAAAAACCATAGACATGGGCACCCCGAACCGAGTGATGATGTTTTTCCAGATGAATGAAATCACATCTTTCGTTTTGATTCCTTTGACAGCCTCTACCTCTACCCATTTAGTAAAGTAGTCGACTGCAACAAGTATGTACTTTCTGCCGCCTGTAGCAGGCGTATAGGGACCCAGGATATCCATGCCCCACTTAGCAAACGGTAGTGGGCTATGGATAGCAGTGAGATCAGTAGCCGGACGGTGAATTAGCTTGCCAAACTTTTGACACTTGTCACATTTTTTCACCATCTCCATTGCATCTGCTTCTAAAGTAGGCCAAAAGTAACCCTGCCGCCTTGCCCGTTCAGCAAGCGACCTGCCGCCTACATGGGAAGCGCAATAACCAGAGTGAAGATCTTCTAGGATTTCTCGCCCCTTTTCTGGAGTAACACACTTCAAGAAGGGTTGGAGGTACCCTCTCTTGTGAAGTTCTCCCCTTATCATTTCAAAACTGGACGCTCGTTTTTTCAATGTGGCCGCCTGGTGATAGTCATCCGGCAAGGTGCCGTCTGTCAGATATGCCCTGATTGGATCCATCCAAGTTGAACTTCTATCTAAAATTCCAATAGGGTCTTCCTCAATGCTTCTTTTCTCCATAACCTCCCAGAAAACGGTTCGTGGAGTATCACAGGAGGCCGAGGATGCTAACTTTGAAAGAGCATCCGCCTGGTTGTTTTCAGATCTCGGTACTTGAGTCAGATGAAAGTCTTCAAGGGATCCGACTGCTTGTCGTACCGCCTGTAGATACTTGATCATCGCCGGATGGGTTGCTTCGTATTCGCCATTGTACTGACTCACTATCAATTGTGAATCAGAACATGCATCTATCTTTCTTGCCCCAGCCGCCTTGCACATGCGGATTCCGGCTAGTAAAGCTTCGTATTCTGCCTCGTTGTTCGAGGCTTGAAAATTGAAGCGTAGAGCATACTCATACCTGTCGCCCTCTGGCGACTGACATATGACGCCTGCTCTGCAACCATTTGAGGTGGAGCTCCCGTCCACATATACCTTCCAGACTTGGTCTGGAACTTGAGAATCAGGGGGCCGAGTCATTTCTACAATAAAGTCAGCAAAGGCTTGCCCCTTTACTGCTTTTCTGGGCTCGAACGTGACTTCGAGGCTCTGAATTTCTATTTCCCATTTGATCATCCGGCCTGACGACTCCATGGTTGTCAGTGGCCGCTTAATCGGTTGATATGTATACACAACGACTGCATGTGCCAAGAAATAGGGCTTCAATTTTTTTACGGCCATGAAGAGAGCGAGGCCGAACTTTTCCACTAAGGGATACCTCAACTCGGCATTTTTCAGTACATGACTGACAAAGTAGACCGGGAGCTGGCAGCCGTCTTTTTCAACAAGAAGGACAGCGCTTAGAGCATGATCAGAGACAGCCAGGTACATGTAAAACACTTCTTTGGGCAAAGGACTGACCAGCCTCGGCAAGGAATGTAAGTGAACTTTCAATTTTTGGAATGCCGCCTCAGCATCCGGCCCCCATTCAAACCTTGCCTTCTTCTTTATAGCCTGGAAAAAGTAAAGACACTTGTCGCCTGATCGGCTTAGAAATCTTCCCAAAGCCGCCAGACAACCTGTTAGCTTCTGAACCTCTCGGACGGTGCGAGGCGACTGCATGTCGATGACCGCCTGCACTTTCTCAGGGTTCGCCTCTATTCCTCTCTAATTGATGAGGAATCCGAGAAATTTCCCAGACTCAACCCCAAATACACATTTCTTGGGATTGAGCATGACATGGTGCCGCCTGATTGTGGCGAAAGTTTCTCGGAGGTCCGACAGATGATCTATCTGAAGCTTGGACTTAACAATAATATCATCAATGTATGCCTCGACGTTCCTCCCAATCTGGTCAAAGAATACAGTATTTATCATTCTTTGGAAGGTGGTCGGGGCATTCTTTAAACCAAACGGCATGACCGTGTAGCAATATAACCCTTGATCAGTGACGAAGGTCGTCTTCTCCTGATCTTTTTTCCACAAAGGAATCTGATGGAAGCCAAAGTAGGCGTCCATGAAACTCATCAAAGCATGGCCGGCTGTTGAGTCGACCAGATTGTCAATTTTGGGCAAGGGGTAACTGTCCTTGGGGCACGCCTTGTTTAGGTCCGTGTAGTCCACACACATTCGCCAGGTACCATTCGGTTTTTTAACAAGCACAACATTTGCTACCCAGTCTGGGAAGTAACATTGCCGAATGAACCCTGCGTCCAGCAACTTTTTAACTTCGGCGGCTGTCGCCTGACTCCTCTCTTCGCCATGGTTCCGCTTCTTCTGTCTTACCGGCTTCTTTTTCGGATCCATGGCCAGTTTATGTACCGCCAGGTCAGGACTGATACCTGGCATTTCGTGAACTTCGAATGCAAAGATGTCTTTGTATTCTTTCAAAAGTTGGTGAAAATCTTCACCCAGAACTCTAAGAGCAGTCGTCCCAACCTTGACTGTTCGGTCAGGGCGCGAGTCGTCCAGGACCAGGTCCGTATGCTCACCAGCCGGCTGAGGGCGGAATTCGTCTGACCGCTCCTCTGCCAGTGATTGCTATTTTTTTTTCTTTTCTTGCGGCCCCCAACCGGGCAGCCTTTCTTTTCTTGCCGCCTGATTCTTGAGCAGGCGCATTCTCCTTGACAACGTCAAGATCTGCTTTTTCACCACTTGACCCAGCGGCCACGACAGTGGGTTTGATGTCCGAGAGGTAGCACTCCCGGGCCATCTTCTGATCTCCCCTTAGGGAG